TTTCCATTTTCTTTTCCATTATCGGAAAAGCCAAGAAACCTGAGCTGGCATGAGATGTTCCGCGGCGTCGGTGTTTTCGCTACGACGGAACACTGAGGGCACCTGAGCACCTGAGTAGAATTCCCCACCGAAAAACTTGTCGTCGCTCTGCAGAAGGAGTGGTGGGAAAACTTTGGTTTAGGGTTTAGGGTTTAGGGTTTAGGTTTGTTTTGTTTCTCGGACCTTTTCTCCCCGCCGAACGAGGGTTTAGGGTTTAGGATTTAGGGTTTAGGCTTTAGGGGCTCTAGAAAAAGCTGTGGAAGAAAGTGTTAAAACGTGATCGTTGAAAACATGATTTTTCCCGCAACCGAGGCCGAGGTCAAGCTTTTCCACAGTTCTTTCTGAAACCCAGAGGCCCCTATTATACTACAGTAGTTTCTATTTTCTTTTCCATTCACCCATTTAACCCAGTAATTTCCATGTTCTCTTCCATTATCGCCAACTTTTTTCCGCAACCCGGAAAGTGTTTCCACAAGTCGCTTCCCGCAGCGACGAACAGCTGTTCCACAACTTTCCGGGGTGACGTGAAACTCTTTCTGCAGCTTGTTTCGCAACCCAACGCTTTGAGAAATGCTCTGGCCAACTCCAGCGTACAGGGTCGCAGGCGTTTTTACAGATTCATGTGGAAAAACTGCTTCTGAAAGGACTGCGCTCATGTCCGAAAACTGTCATTGCGGGACTAGAATCACATGGAAAAGCTGGCTTTGAAGACAAGATTCATGCGGCAAAAGTGTCCCAGCGGAATATAGAACGTCGCCCGAAGCGTTTTTGTGGAAGCTCCCCATCCAAACCTGGAGCCCCCAACTAACTGGTAACCCTGCCTGGCTTGGGATCGGTGAGCCGTCTGAAGGCACGGTCGCCCTTCAGAGATACAAAATGCTGCAAGACTTGGTAGTCCATGCAGCATTCAAAACAAGCAATGCCATGTGCGCATACGCTTCTGAGCCAGCTATGAAAATCACTCGGGGCTCAGGCAACGCATCTCCGTCCGGCACCTCAGCGATGGTGCACATGAACAGGTGAGTGAGGGGTGAAATACGTGAAGCCAAGTCACCCCGTATCCGTGAGAGGGCAGTCCGCCCAGCAACCGGCACTGTCCAGAGCGAGGGACAGCTCCCACCTGAACACTGAGACTCGAAGGAGCAGCGTCAAATATGCAATTTGAGCAGATACCTTGGCGCGGATCATGCTAATCGCATGGCTGACAGCTGCTTCTTTTTCAGACAAGTCTGCCATTGTTGACCTCAGCTGCCAAAGTTCGAGGAATGGTCCACAAGTGGCCAGTCTGCGAGCAGAGGGTGCAGCTGGTCTATCTTTGTTTCCTGCTGCCGCATGTCTTTCATGATCTGGAGCAGCTTTTCTTTTACTTCCAGCAAAAACCTTGGCTTGGCGATGCTTGGGTATGCTTGGCGGGGCAAAGGGATAGCTTTTCATGGTCCATCTGGCCAAGCATCTCCTGGATCCTTCGGAGGGCCTCGTCGGGCAGCGAGTGGATCTTGTAGCGAACCTTTTTGACAGCCGGAGTTCTTGTCTCAAGTGTTTCTGGTATAAGGCCACGGGGCCTGGTACACCACATCGTCTATCAGGATCTTGCTGTCCTACATTACAAGAATACGTCGACTGCACTGGATATACGGGACCCGCAGAGAACTCTCAAGCACCTCCGGCGGCATTCCCGGTCGGCTGACCCACGCGAAGACATCCGCTGTGTCTTGCGCGTTGGCCACATTGAGCCTGACAGCAGGGAAGCCTTTATGACCAGCAGCTTCAGCACATGATAGCACCGCCACCTCACGTTGTAAACAGGCACCATCTCCTTGAGTGCCTCGAACATGTTCATTGCCGAGGCCCTTAGCTTGGGCAATCCACTCCCAAGAAGCTGATGGCCCTGGTCTTTCAGCTTTCCAAGGCTCCGGGCCCTCCACTGCCAAGTCGGCCCGATCGCGAGGTTGTTATGATAGGATTGTCAAACTCTGCCGCCTGTGCTGCGATGAGACGGTACCCAAGCCAGACGACAGCAAGAACAGGCCCAGACGCAGTGAAAGGAGGCGATGAGGCCTAGGCCTCCCAGGCCTCCTGTGACCTTGCTTCAGGTTTGCTGTGAACTTCTAGACTGCAGCTGCATGATGGTGAATGAGTCTGGGTGGCTGGCCATCATCTTGCCTAAAGCCTACCTACCCTGCTAGGAAAACAACCCACTTGCCTGTGTACCCTCTCCCTGAGCCAGCACATGGCAAAGCCAGAAGAGCCGCATTGAAGTATAAAAGCCCATGCAGAGGCTTTGGCAAGAGAGGTCTGGCCACCCTTTTACTTTTACACCGCTTGCAGCGTCAATGGATGCATGGTACAAATCGATCGACCACAGGCGAAGGGCTGAAACAGCTTTCACGGGTTAGAAGCTTTGGACAACGTTCGCCGGCGGCTTGCGTCAAACCATCCAAGGCATCTCAAGGTGCTTGGCGGTTACGAGGCCAGGAGGCATGAAGCGGTCTTGCAGGCTCGCTGGACTTGCTGGCCTGGGGCTGTCATAGCTTCTTCTGGAAAGATCTGGTGGTTGTGGGTGTTCTGGATCTCAGTCTCGAAGGTCACGAAGATCGACAACTTCGGAAGCTTCATGTGCGATAGGCCTGTGAATCATGCCAACAGATTGAAAGACAAGCTGGTCATGGCATAAGTCACCCTTCCGGGTGCCTCTCTGATGCCGCCTCGGAGCGCTCCCGCACTATGCTTAAGCCTGCGCGGCCATGACCGTCAACAGAATAGAAAGAGAAAGCAGATTGCGGCCTCCGCTGTCAGCTTCCTGTGAGCCTGGAACTGCCACCATCTCCTGGGATCCAGAAACCAAAAGCGAACACTCAGCCTCTAGATCAAGAGACAATTGCAACAGGTTTCAGCAGCAAATACGCAAGCAAACTGCAAGCAAAAAGAGCTTCCAAATCACCACGATCTTGGCATTCAGGAATACCTACCTTGCGCTGCAACCAAGGTTCGATCTCACGAGCTGGCCTGTGAAGCTAGGCAGTTAGATGCATTACCAGGCACATCATGGGTGACTGCCAATTCCAAGCAACATGTACTTGATTTCAAACAGACACCCCACCCCTGAATTCTTTACCATCACCAAGGCTCTCCGCATTGTCAACACCTCAGCTTGCATCGACCATTGCAAAACTTGTTTGTCGTTTACACTTCTGGAAGGCCAACCAACCGCTTCAAATGGTCCATTTGTTGGCTGGACCGACCCTCAAGAGTGCAAATGAATCTGTCTCCCGAAAATGCCTCAGCGGTACGTTGCAAAAATGTACTAATGCCAACAACCCAACACCTGAACTCACTAAATTGACCACGCACCCGGGAATCCACGCCACCACGAGATGGAACCCAGAACACCAAACCAAAGTGTCAGAGCACCCAACTGCCGAGCTAGCTGTTGGGCATCAGCATGGGCCACACTTGCGCGAACCAGGCTCTTCCGATATCTGGCAGGCGGCTGCTTTCAGCAGCAGCACTTCAGACGCAACGAAGGAAAAAGGTTCAACAAAGCTGTCGAGTCATTTTCGTCTGCCTTTTCTTCAATAGAAGCCGTTTTTGCGTCTCAAAACAGCAAGAGAAAAGTCTGTCGAGATATAGCAATACTGCACAGCCAAAGGTATTCCGATGCCCCACGCTTGCCTCACGACGGAGGAGTACAAGCGCGGCTGAACTTTCTGCCTTTGTTGATGCGCATCTGCTTGGCAAGGTTGAGATCATTTTGAGCATTGTAAGTATGATCCACAACTCAGGAACCGACGGCTCTTCAGGCGGCCTTGGGTCAAGAAACAAAGCGTGCTTGAGATTCATCACTTCTCTGAGGCCCCGGTGGGAGAGCAGGAAACCGAAAAAGCTTAGCTGAAGCACTGGTCCCCATCTCCCTGAGCTGGTTCCACTGGCTTCTTCAACACACCCAGCCAGCGCAGAATGGGCGCAAAGCTGCCGGACCTTGCAGCAGGTTGCTGGCCATGCATGAAGCCAGGAATTCTGAATGGAACTTGGTGCAAGCCTAGTCACTCGCCACTTGGGCCAGCAATCAGGAGGAGCGCCGAAAAGAAGATCAAAGAAGTCACCACGGAGACGCTGATGACGAAGCAAATGACAATCCTGTGTTGTACATTGCACCAAGCATGAGTCATTTTTGCGATGTGGCCACGTGGCGTGAGGCAATCGCAGCTGGCTTCGCACTGCCGTTATCCGAGCCAAGGATCCCAAACTTGATCAGAAACAGGCCTCAAGTTGGCACAAGCGTGACGCGCAGGGAGCAACCGATGAAAACTCTCTGCATCCCTGCAATGGCATGATCCAGCTCACGTGCTAGCAAGGAGCTCTGGCAGAAAGTCATGAAGACCGCAGCTCCTGCCTGAAGCAGGATGGGTTTCATGCGTGCGTGTGTGCGCAAGTGCCAAAGAGGCCATCAGCTAGTTCTTTGAAGACAGGACGCAGAGGAGATAGCCCCAGAGATCACGGAGACCCCCATCTTGGTCACCTGCAGTCACTACAGCTGCTGCTGCTGCTGCCGGAGGCATCAAGACTTCTGGAGGAGCTTTGTCACATGGGACACGGCATGTGGCTGCAACTTAGCATCAGGCCATGAACTGCACACGCTCCTGCAAGTGAAGTATTTTTGGGACGGGTGTGTGACTTGCTTTCAGTTGCTTTGGGTCCTCACGGCTCTCATCCGGACATTCCAGATAGGCATCGCCTTTCACTTTAGAGAGCAAACCAAGAACCAAGCAGATGCACAGCTGTGTGCTTAGTTAGTGCGCCTAAATGGATCACGTAGTCCACCGAAAGCCCGATGACCATCACGTAGATAATTGCCTCCGACACGCTGGTCTTCCAGTCCATGCACACGGCAAAGGCCAGGACGGAGGAAACCTGACAGCACATCACCAACGCCAGAAAGGGACCTTTTGAGTTTACCAATCCAAGACCTGGACCTGCAATTTGCAGCTGAGACCCTGGCGATGGCAACGATGCACGAAACCGAGATGAGCGCCAGGAAAAGGTTCTGAGTGGCTCCCAGCAGCACCAGGAAGGCCAGAAACCTCCGCAAGGCAGAAGCTCTGCTGAAAACACGATCCAAGGATCTATTGGAGTTATGTAAGGTTTTTTTCATTCTGGTTATATTAGGGTCATATTAGGATTAGGGTGAACCATCAACTTTTCAAGTATCCTGCGGCCAGTAGCAGGGAGAGCTTGATGCCATCGAAGACCTCCGAGTTCATCGCATCCTGAACCTGGAACCAGTGGAAGGCGAACCTTAGCCGAATTTGCCTTTCATGCTAATTGGACGAACTCACCAGCAGGCCGAGCTGCATGTCTGTGGCGAAGATCGCCTTTGGGAGCATTGGCAGCATCTCCTCGCTTGCTTGGGATGATTCTCTGGTCAGAAATACTCTTTCACTTGTCCAGCTCGTACAAGTCGAGGCTCCTGCTTTGCCTCCTCCTGGGCAAAATCTGCGACAAACCTGCAGGCAGGTGCCTGTGAGATATTAAAGCGCTTGACATGTCCGAGTCCAAGCAGCTTGTCCCAGTGGCGGTTCAGCTCAATTCCATCCTCAGCCAAGGCATGATCTTCAGCAAACCACCATCGTCTCACATTTTAACTATGCCGTCAAGTAGATAAGATTACTATGCTCTTTTCAACTCTCGGGGCAGGTTCTGGACTTCTGCAAGTCAAGCTTCCAGATACGGGATCTGCCAGGTTGTTTTCAACGCCACTTCGATGACAATCGCTCTCAGCACCAATTCACCATCTACGCGGTCAAAGAAAACCTCTGGCCAGATGGGTAACACAAAAATGGATTTTGTTGACATGCCGAAACCTGACCATGACAGTTTGCTTTGCTTACATCACAGACCTCGTCCTGGAAGAACTCCATGTTGCGCTGCCCAGACTGATACATCCTGAGGCATGTCAGGCAAGCCCAATGCACGAGACCAATCGGTTTCATTGATTGATTGATTGATTGATTGATTGATTGCTTGTGGAGTCCAGCCCCTGCATGTGCAAGGCACGTCGCTGCACTTTGCAGCACATTCACATCACATCACAAGAAAGCGGAGCCCTGACATGACAGACCAATAGGTTCTAGATCAGAGACCTCATTTCCCAGCCAAGAATCTTGTTTGAAGGAGGCATGGGGGACGACAGAAATTTGACAAAGTCTGAGTCAACACCACAACAGAAGTTGCCTCGGCCAACCGAAAAGCCTGCATCCAGCAGTCTTGAACTGAAAATTGCAGAGAAGCAGCTGGAAGGAAATTCCTTTTTGCAACAGGATCCGAGCATGTCAGAAAGACAAACCACATTGCTTAAGTTTGCTCTCTTTTGCACGTGTCTCCTTCATTTCTTCCGCACCAGCGGAGTGCTTGGCTGCCGCGTTCATCATGTTCTCAGCAAAATGATTGCAAGGTACTTGCGAGGCTGGGTCGCGCATGATTACGCCAGGCTTGAGGTGGGGACGATCCAGTGCTCGAAGTCCCTGAAAACCTTGCAGGAAATCACAGCAAGCCAGCAAGAGTGCTCCTTCGTCCTTCTGGCCGCGAAACACATTTCAGCGGCGGCAGGCCCCCAAGAGTTTCTGCAGTAGCCACTTGAAGGAACGGAAACTCTCCTGGAGCAACTTGTCAAGTCTGCGTCCAAGGCACAACAAGGACGGACAACTCCTGCTTTACGCCTCGCCTCTACTGGCATTAGTACTTGTAGATGCGCAAGCGCCATTTCCTGAAAACACCTGATGACCCGTCAACATTGTGTCTTAGCCTCTTAGCAGTCAGCTGGCCTTGAAGCCCATCCAGCTGGGAAGCTTCACCGTCCCACTCTGAGGCATCGTCCAACACATCCTTGCTACCGCTGTGGAGGAGCATCAGTACGCAAACTCTCCTACCTCTGCCCTCCAAAGACCTTCCATGAAGCTCTACGCTGGGCGAGACTGAACAGCAAGCATGTCAACGTGAAATTGAGAAGCTACGTATTTCACCCTGTATCTGCGCTGGACTCAGAGCTTCAACAACAGGGGAGCAGCACGCACTCGGGTTGGAATTATGGCCAAGCTTCACAAAGTTTTTGGACCACCCTCTGCATTCCTGGAGTTCCCAAGCGCCATCAGAATGTTTGGTTCACTGTGACACTTGGTAGGTCCAGCCAGACTTGAAGCCTAGATGCGAATCTGCTTGCTCTTTGACTCCTCACTCTTATCACCTCAGCACAACAGCAATCCATCAGATCTGAGGCCTACGTCGGCTTCCCAACAACTTGAGGGAATTTGCCTGAGATGCCTGAGTTATCACGTAAAGAAACAACACGCCTGTGAAAGGCCAATCCATGACCACCTGAATGGACTTCAGGCAAGCCACCAGCGGTGGCGAAGAGATCCAGGTAATTGGGCCGCTGACCCGCACAGTTGAAGAAGCAGTCATTGTAGTCAGGTGTGGTTCCTCGATTGATGGGATCATCTGCATCGATGCCCAAATGGATCCGCACCTTCAACCTGAACGGATTGAAGGTCTTCTCGTATCTCTTGGCTAGCGTTGGCAGAAAGCGTTCGTAGTTGTCGCTTGGCATGAAGACCTTCGGCATGTTCGGGTCCGGCGTGACATATGTAGCAGTCCACATGCACACTGCTGCCCACACGGCGAAGACCCCAAGCAATGGGAACTTGAAAGTCTTCACCTTCCATCGCGCTGCGCCATGGTCTGTCTCATCCCATGCCCTTATAGTCCCCCTTAAGTAGATAGAATATAGCTTTGGGTATATTGTAATAAGATCCCCATATCCCCCATATTCTATCTACTTAAGGGGGCCTAGAACTACCCTGACAATTGACGACTGAGAACTGGGCGAACAGGAAGAAGGTGTCATGGAACCACCTCAGTCTCAGAAAAATCCAGCGGCCAGATGCAGGACTTAAATAGCAGTTTCCATGTTCTTTTCTTTTATCCCATAACCCCTATGTTCCCCTCTCTTTGTTTCTATATTGCCCCTATATTACCCCTCCGGGCCCCTGGATGCGGCCAAGTCACTTCTCCATGGGCCTCAACGTGTCCGCCTGGCGAAGTTAGCTACTGCGCAAAGAAAGGGGGCATGAACTTACCCCTATTCTCCTCCTCGACAGGCGGCTTTGGCGCTGCCGGTTTTGGGCGCTTCAGGCGCTCGTCTGCACAGACCTGACTGCAAAACTAGTGCCCATGGCGCCTGCTCCTGCATCTGAGCAAGACAGGAACTTAATTAAGTTACTATATTATCCCCCTATAAGCCTATAATGGAGAATCAAATGGAAAAGAAAAAGGAAAATGAAATGGAAACTGGGAAATATAGGGATTTAAGGAACTGAAATTGACACCTAGACAGTACCAGCAGCACGAGCGGACCCACACCCAGGACAACTGATTCCAACATCCCAACGATCCCAATGCGCAGGGAACTTCCACACAGGCGCCTGAAGCCAATGCAGCCAGAAGGCAATGGCCAGGAAGAAGGAGAAGTCAATGAAGAAATTTGTAAGAATTAGGCAAGCCTTAGTCATAAAGGGTTCCGGCATACATGCAAAGAATAAAACCTGGCACTGCTCGTTGGCCTAGAATTTGCTGAGGCGCGCAGAACATGCCGAAAGTTCTGATCGATGGAAAATCAGAGACAGAATTCCTTCAGAAGCGCTGCCGCATACTGTTGAATGTAAGCGTGGAAGATCATGCAAGACCTGTGATGCTATTACCCGCACGCAGAGACCATTGGACAAAGGGTCGAGGCGAAGGCAAAGAACGTGGTCAAGGAGGTGCACCTTGATACACAAGCAACAAGTGGCCCAACCCAAGGACTTGACAAACACCCAGAGCCCATCACTCGAAAGGATCCGCAGACTTTCTCAACTTGGCCCCAGACAGACATGCCTTCGAGGCATGGTGTACAGCCGGAGACATAATGGCACCTCTATCGAGCAAAATGCAAGGCTCTTCCAAAGGTCAGGAGCAACCCTGAACTGTCTCGAATGGAAGGAAGATGCAGGAGGCATAGACTGGAAGCTCTCGGAGCCGCACTGAAGTTGGTTGGTCGTCCCTCAGCTTCAGCCTCCGCCTTCTCTTGGCCATACGCATCCTTCGACAAAGAACATGAGACAGGCCATGGGCACATTGCACAAAATCCAATCCAAATATTTCGCTGTTGGACTGAATAACATCCACAACATGATGTTTCTGAATTGCGATGGTACACCATGATAACGAACGCGTCATCGACTCCAACGCCCAAGATGATAAAGAGGCCGTTCAAGTGCAGGAGTCCTCAATCATTGCTGTCTGAGCTGTCTGTTTTACTTGCAGTGCTGCACACAAGCAGCAAGAATATCGTGCCAAGCATCCAATGTACCTCTGCCCAAAGACCATCGTGTAAAGCCTCCATCGGCTCAGGCGCTGTGTGGGACACAAATAAGGCCTACCCTTGGGAACGGGACACCACAGCCCGCGGCCATATCAAGAACAACCTAATGACACCGAGCAGCAGTAGGGCTGGCCCGAAGGCGAAGACAATCATGGCAATGATCTCAGAAGACAACATCAGGGTTTTCACGAAACACCAAAAAAGGTGTCCCCAAAACTGAATCAAGATGTTGGATTTGCACTGCAACAGCACTGCGAATCTGGAAGACGCAATGAAAATGCTGCAGCTGGATGCACCATCTTTACAGTGTGTGCTTTCCAAACTGGGCCATAGAGGCAAAATACCGAGAGGGCTGCGCATCCCTGCACAAATTGTTCAATCCGTGTTGGTGGATGTGCTCACTCTGGCAAGTGCCGGCAGTCAAGGTCACGTGTGGTGCTTCAAAAACAGCAATGGTGATAGGACATGGCTGATCACGTGACCGAGTAAGGTCACCAGCGTTACAGGACACCGTTCAATACATGCTGTGTGGCTCCTCAGCTGGATAACCACGACAACTACCACTCCTCCCGCTCCTTCTAGTCCACAACTAGCACCGCCTTTAGCAAACAAACCTTCTGGCAGCCATCCCCTGATTCCAGTGTCTTGTCCAGCCAACCTGGACCAATAGTTGGCCTAGGGGTGACAAACATCAAAAAACTGCGGTTATCTCGGGTCCGAAAAAAGGGAGTTTTCCAAAAAGCCTCTATCTGCTCCTCAGCCGGGTTATTGTGGTACCAGAACCGCCAAGAAAAGCTCCAACCCAGGGGCCCCAATATACTACAGAAGCTTCAACTTTCTTAGGGTTTAGGGTTTAGGGTTTAGGGTTATACTATAGTAGTTTCCATTGTATTTTCCATTATCCCAATATAACCCCAATATACTATAGTAGTTTCCATTTTTCCATTATCCCCATATAGCCCTAAAATACTGTAGTAGTTCCCATTGTCCATTATCCCATTATAGCCCCAATATAGGCCTCGAAATTTCGGGCTTCACAGTTGCGCCTCATGGGCCCAACAAGCGGGGCTATGTTGGGATAATGGGAAATGGGAGCTACTATAGTATTTTGGGGCTATATGGGGATAAAGGAAAGAAAATGGAAACTACTATAGTATATTGGGGTTGGGCTTTGGCAATCTGGTAAGTCAACGGCATGACAGTCGGTTTGGACCCAGTCCACCGACGCAATTCAAGCTGCCATGCTAAACTGTAAATGCACTCTTCGCCGCTGGCCTCCCGAACCTGGACAGTGGTTTTGCCTACATGGCCTCTTCGAGGGGGTGCTCGACATGGACATGCATGATGAAAACAGGCCGAACCAAAGCCCTGGGACGCGAAATGTACTTCACGCAACTTACACGTCTGATGCAGATGAAGCCGATGGCTTTACGTTTTCCAGACCATCTTGGCAACACTCGCCCTCGGAATCTGTTCCATTCCTGATTTCGGACATCCATTCCACTCTTTTCGCTGGGCCGCGCCCAAGAGATCACTCCAAGCCTATTCCGCTTTGCAAACGCCCAAAAACGCCCAAATGTCCCGAGCCCCGACTTGTATTTCATGCATCCCATGGCTGGACGCACCTCTACACAACAGACGTTGCCCCAACAGGACTTTCGATCGACAACACTGGATCAAAATGCAATAGGACAGCTCAGGTCGGCACAGAGACACCCAGGAAAACAGAGCCTGTTGTATAGGATATATATGCCAACATGAACATGATGGAGGCAGTGATCCAGCGGGCATCTCGTGGGATGTTGTAGGCAATGTACCTGACGACTGTCAAGAATGCTCGCCCAAAGCACTGGTCCTTAACGGGCCAAGTTGCTGCTTCAAAAGCGGGCTGCCGTTTTGCAGACTGTTCGCATCGAAAGACATCCTGGGCACAGAGAAGCGTCGCTGTCTGCAAGCCACAGACAGCAAAAACTGCCAACACAACAGCCAAGACTCTTGAAGCCTGGGCAGAGGAGGAGGCTGTGACATGCGATTCGATGATCTAACTCGCATGGCCCCTGCCTTTGGCTTGCTTGTTCAAGTCCACAAGCAGGTCATTGTAGGTGTTGAATATCCATTCCATTATGTAGTCTGAAGCCTGGACTTCTATGGACACGGCAACGGAAGACAACAGCGAACATCAGATTCTTGAGCTGCCGGCCTCGTTTCGCCCCTTCTCGGCATTCAACCCAGTCCAGTGCTCGTTGATGTTCCTGAGGTGGCAGGCAGACCGGCAATTCAGTTCAGCCTTGTTCTGCGCTTTCAAAAGCCCAGGATCCGCAGCGGAAAGCCGAAGAAGAAGAGCGTGTGGAGTGCCTTCACCTGGACTCAGGCCACCAGCCTCTCGCTCGATTTCAGTTTCATTTGAACCCCAAGCCTGGGCATTCCTCCTTAAGCAGATGCCATGTTTTCGAATCTCACAGCTCCCGGCATCATCATCTCCCACCCTGAGCAGCTGCGCTTGAAAAAGCCGTCTCCAGTCAGAGTAGGCTCAAAGATGACTTTGTCCCAGCAGCACGGAAAAGAGATTCGGAAACTTCTTCGGGAAAAGTACGAGCTCTTCCTTGGATTCATCCTAGTTCAGCACTCCCCTCCATTCCTGAGCTGCAGAGCCAAGCATCTCGTCCAAGGTTGTCTCCGGTGAATGTCACACTGGCCGGCGAGCGACACCAAGTGTGGCAAAAGTTACTGAACAGAACAACTTCTAGCAATCTTTACTAGCTCGTCGCTGCTGAGTCATGACCTTGCCTCTCTCCCTGGCATGACCAGCCTGTCAGGTGCTCGCTTCACTCGCTTCACGCAACTGAAACTTTTCAACTCAGGCCTTTCGGGAGGTCATTGGGTGAGTTTCGGCGTCGGCACTCGCAGCCACCGGACCAGCGCCGCCGGCCAATCATAGCGTCCCTTCAGCCATTCAGTTGCAAGGGGTCCAGGTCACGAGGATCAGCCCTTTCCAGGGACCACGCCGACACTCCTGCACCCGCTGCGACTGCGGATCTTCGATCGTCGTGTAGAACGGCATAGGAACCTCATGCTGCGCGCGTGCAGCGCGTGTGCACGCGGTGCATGCTGTTTGGAGAGGCCGATCTGAAAAGTGATCTTCCAAGCGGCAGCCATCACGAAGGGATGAGGAATCACACGGTCCATCACCCGCCGGCGCGCATAAAATGCATGCGCGGCGTTGTCACCTCAGCAAAATTCTCATGATTATGGATCCCCTTTGGTGATGTTTGCTCTGCTTTCTACCCCCAAACCATATCATTTGGACCAGTGACCAGCCAAATCTCCACATTTCTGGCTTTTCAGGATGGGATTGCGCCGGCGTCTCTCCATGTGCCTGGCATCAGAGCACGCCCCGTTGCCTCGGCATGGGATTCTGGTCCAGGATGGGTTTAATTCCATCAGCCCCACTTCTCCGTGGAAAGTCTACAATCATTACTAACTACCACATCAACGACGCCAAATAACTCCACGGCTCAGGATCTTGTCTACCAGCATTCTTCCAAGGACACTTCTCCTCAAGCTGTAGAGGCTGTGCCAGCCGTGGCTAAAACATCAAGATGCACAGCAGAGAGCCGCATTGCTGTACACCCAAGCGTCAGAGTTCTGGCGGCATAGCTCAACCGAATCATCATCGTAGCCTTCAGGCGGCTTTGGAAAAAGATCTAAATGGTAATTACAGATGCAAGTGCAAGCATAACTGCGGCACTGCACTCTAGATCTAATTTTGAATTCGACTTGGCAGGAAACAATGCACTTTATCAAGGTGGCTCCAGGTAGATTCCAAAGATCTATTTCAGAACCTGGTCCCTCATCGACAGCCACACCATTGCCCGGACTTCTGTCAAACACTGGAAGCCCAGCATGTACTGCGCCAATGAGCAAAAAGGCCAATGCATGTCTAGCGGCTTGTCCAGTAGTTGAGGACCTTCTGCACATACGCGTCAGCCTCACGAAAGCTATACAAAAGCCATATCCCACCGGCCAAACAATATTTGCAGCCAGTGGGAGAGACCTGCTGTGAAAGAGGAATGTGAGGAGTGAAAAAGCGAAGC